GCAAGTTCGAGTGTCCAAAAGGAGCCAATTGTTTGAAGGCATGTTTGGAATGACTTTAAAAAAAAATTACTTTTGACATATTTAGGTCAAAAGTTAGTTTTAAACCCGTTGGACGATCGAACACAATAAAGATGCTTTCATCAACTTTTGTAAGCTCTTCTGAAACAAATCAAAATTTTAATGTTTATAGAAAAAGCTCGTGAAAAGTTTTGTTGATATATTTTTAACCTTTTTATTTGTGAATAAGAAATTATAAAATTTCACTAAAATTCTCGTATTATATTTACTTTTCATAACAAAATAGATTTATATAACCAAACATGAAATTTTTGGATACACATCAGAAACACCTTTCTACCATATCTTTTACCTTTACCTAGCTAGCCAAAACTATAATTATGGAATTTCCTAAGTTTAATCCAAAACTGAAAACTCTAATACAATATTTCATGATATTATTATAAAAGGCGGACCCAGTGTTAAAGAGGCTCCCGTACTATGACAGGCTCGGGGGAAAGTTCAATCCCATATGTACGCGGCATTACCTCCAAAAGGAGAGACCATTTTCGGGATTCAAACCCTAGACTCCGGGTGCAAACGCAAGCGCTCCCACCACGGTGCCAAGGCCCGCCTTCATTTCATGATATTATTATAATTCAATTAATTTTAAATCAAAATAAATAATCATAGTAGGATTTTAAATTAATAATTATTCACTTCTTGAATAACTAATGGGAAATTGAGGTGGGTGGCCGTTTTTTGCACCTACCGTTAATTATGGATCGAAGTTTCAAAAATTCAGGGAATTGTCGTTTTTAATTTTTTTTGTCCCATTCTATTCCGATTCCGCTCTTCCTTCCCTGTCGACTTCGTTGTTGGAATCCGTGCTTTTGCATGATCTTCATCGATCATCTGCTCCTCATAGATCTCGCCGTCTAGCTGTAGCTGGTGTAAATCTTGCTACGATGGTGCTCAAGAAAGTAATTCGACGTTGTGTGCTTGGTAGAGAACCCAGCTTATAGCATCCATGGACATGGAACTTCCCAAATGAGAGAGCGAGAGAGGGAGAAAGCTCATAGGCGTTGGCTAAAAATAGGTATTTGGAATCAATCAAATTCAATAATCTCTGGTATAATAACCTATTAGTAATAAGGGAAGAAGTTTGCAAAAAAAAATATTTTTAGTAATTAGTATATTGGGGACAACAAGTACTTATAAGCACAAATCTCTTACAGACCTCTTACACTCTAAAACTTTTTAGTTAAACTATTACGTTCACGCTTTTTTTTTTTTTTTTTACAATAGATTTTCAATTGCAAAATAAAATGTACTAAAAATCTAATTTAAGTATTTATTTTTTTTAAGTATTTGAAATAAGATTTTGAATTATAACATTTTGATATTGATTAAAAGGCGATTGCGTTTATTTACTTCATTCGCAATCGCTTATTTACTTCACTGAAGTTTAAATCTAGACAAATGTAAATTTAACTCTAGACAAATGTAAAAATTAGTTCGTACTAACTCTGGGATTAATGTGAGGCAAATGATGAATGCAATTTATATCCCGAATCAATATAATAACCAGGCAAGAAATTTAAGTATAGTTAAAGACCAACGTTTTAAGTGCTTCTTACTGCGATAGTTGAAACCAAGAGGTTTGGCCTTCTTATAGAGGCTTTAGCCCACACCTACTTTACTTTCTAAGTAATGTGGGACTTTTCTTCTTTTTTTATTTTTCCCAAGCCTAATAATCTCTATCTTTGCTAAATAAAAGTAGCTTACTCTACCACTACTATCTTTATCGATAATCATGATTCTCAACCCAAAGACCTATCATACTCTACCATAAAGAGTGATAATATACTATGAAAAGTTGGAGTTAGTAAAATATATCAATAGATATGTTGGAGTTGCACCAAGGGTTTAGTGATCAATAGGGTTTAGTAGTTGGACTTCAGCATACACCATTCTTTTTTTTTTTGGATTAATTTTAAAAATTTCCATCAAACTATGACCCTTGTAACACTTTGTTCCCCTGAATTTTAAAAAGTAACACTTGTTCCTCCCGAACTTTGTTCCGTTAACAAGTTTTATCCTTCTGGTATAATGAGTAACAGAATTGCCACGTGTCACTTATTTAGTGAGAATTGAAAGCGCAATTACGTTTATACCTTCATAATCAAATAATTCCCCATTTTTATTAAAAAATTCACCATCTTCATTCCCATTTTGCTTCTTTTTTTTCCTCACGCCGTTCATTCATGGCAAGTTCCTGCAGTACAAATAGTGGTGGCAACGGCTGAGTAAACGAAGAAATTTGAGGTCCTATTCAATGTTGATGTAGGTTGGATCTAGTAGTGAGGACATCACACAGAAAGAAGAATCCGAGAAGACAACTTTATGGCTTACTTAAATGAGGCTGAAATTGGAAATTGTAAACCTGTTTTTAGTTCGACATCCTTTGATGATCCAAAAATAGGTTAATTGGGCATTCTCTTTTGGACCCTGTTTTTTTTTTTTTTCCCTACCACCCTCTGTTCATGCTTCATTTTCTTCATTTTTTCTCAACCACCACACGCTCATCATCACCAAGCACGGACCCTTTCCCTTCCTTCTCTCTAGCCCTTGCAATGTTTGTTCAACTGTGTCACCTATATCAATTTCATCTTCAGACTGTGCAAATTCAGAATCATCATACTAAGAATCCAAATGCTCATAATCATCATACTCAGAATCATCTCCACTATTTGTTGAACTCCCTCCTATGCAATTCAAAGGAAGTTACATACCTCTTCTAACTTATGGAAGCATAACTAGAAGGATAAAGCTTGAACAAATGCTTCTCTCTACCGCTCACATCAACATACAGAGAGAGAAAGAGGATAAAACAAAAATCTTCAGCTTTTATGATAATTTCCTTCTCATATGGGTCATGTATATGATACATAGCGATTTTCGTCACTCATTGTAACATAAAGATAAAACTTGTTAACGGAGCAAAATTCGGAGAGAACTAATGTTATTTTTTAAAATTTGGAAGAGACAAAATGTTATAACGGTCATAATTCAGAAGGAATTTTTGAAATTAATCTCTTTTTTTTTTTTTTTTTTGGATGTTGTCACGTGCTGAGTGATGAGTTTGTCATTGTGTACTGGTGTGATTTTGTACTATAATGCTTTCCAGAAATACGTAGTTATCATCTTGTATTCTTAATCATATATTACAAAGTGGATTTCAAGAATCAAATGAAAAAAAAAAAAAGAAAAACAGTTAAAGGTTCTTTATTAATAGTATATGGTGCTTTACTTTAAAAAAAAAAAAAAAAAAAAAGTATACGGTGCTTTTACATTTTTCATATATACTATTATTTTGTCCATTTCTTCACTTTTTCCACTTAATTAAGAATTGTTAATCTTTCTGCATCATCACGATGTTTAGTGGAGAAACAAAAGAAGATCTGACTTAATACCGATTAATTTGGAGAAAGTTGTGTCAAATCTGACAAATTTATCTAGAACGAATTATATGGCTTATTTGGCAAGCGCATGCCATGATTTTGCAATTAGAAGTTCCTCAAAATTTTGACTATATATTTGGTTACGCATGCTATGGTCAATTGGTATTGATTAAACTGCTATTTGAGTATAATATTATAATTAATGTGTCAATTATAAATTTAACATTTAAGTGTAAAAAATACTCTTTACTATAATGCTATTGTTGTGCTAAATTTGTTATGCCCTTTACTTTGTGACAAATTTCCTACTAAGTATAGTATATAATAAATTTAACATTTAATTTTATTGGTTAATATATTTACTCACTTAATCAAGTACAGTTTTTGCCTTTTAAAATTATTATAAAATTAAAAGCAGTTGAGGCTTCGGCGTATGCTTCTGAGTTTTGACAATATTAAAATGGTGAAATCTTGAAACGCTTAACTTGAGAAGATTGTTTGATATGATTAGACGAGATAGTGCAAGTTCCTTGATAGATCCACGGCCCCGACCCATGAACTTAAAAAATAATAATAATAAATAAATAAATAATCCGTTCACTTCACTAATTCGAATTTAAAATTTAAAAGTGCAAGTTCCTTGATAGATCCACGGCCCCGACCCATGAACTTAAAAAAAAATAATAATAAATAAATAAATAATCCGTTCACTTCACTAATTCGAATTTAAAATTTGAGTTTTGTTATAGTAAAAAGTTTTTAAAAACAGTCACGATAAAAAACTCTCACATAAAATCACATTTCAACTCAAATTACAAACTCAAATCAGCAAAGTGAACGGCCATAAAAATTGACTGACTCGAGTGAAAGATGCGGGCAACCTCAGAACTTGTTTCTTGATTGGAATAAGCATAACGCTTATTTCAATGGAGCACGAAAGACGAGATCAAGTGGAAATTGTTGGTCAGCTGAGTAATTGCTGCTAAGAATGAAAGGGGAGCATTCCCTGATCAGCCTCAGCTTTCTAACGAGTTATGACCAAAAATATATGCCAAGTTGGGGTTATAATTCTGGATTTCTATTCCAATAATGTTCAAGAACTTTTCTATTAATTTTTCAGATATTAACATAGCAAAAAGACAAGATTGGACTCAAAGAACCAAGTTGATCAATAACAGGGAAAAGTTATACAGGCGGCGACGACTCAGCTGTCTTCATTCTATAGAAGACTTCTAAGCTCAACTTAACTAACCTAAAACCGCTCGCTCTTAATAACAACAAATTTTGATTGCAAAAGAGTCTTGGAGCATATAAGCAGAACCATGGTCATGTGGAATCTGAAAATCGGTAGTTAGGAGGATTGCGAAAGAGTTCTTTAAGCATAAAAGAAGAATCATGGGCATGGCAAAATGTGATAAGCATTCATCAGGAGACAGTGTAACATTGCTCTTCAGAATTATGTATTTGATATCTACCCTCATAAACAAGAGGGTGCATCGATAACAAAAGCTTAACAAGTACTCAATCCAAGTTGGAGTAGTTCCATTTCAATGTGATCCAAGATAATCCAAAAGCATGACAGTACAGTTGTGAAGAGAATGATGGCAGATGATCACCATGGTTTGATAACATTGCGATTCTAGGCCCCATCTGCTAACGTCCTCTTCGAAGTACTGATGTAAAGAACTGCACCAAAGAGACAATAAAAATCCCAGTCGTTTCCACAATTTGAAAAGTGAGAATCAAGTATGAACTGCATCATTGTTTAATCATTACCGTTATTTCCACGAATAAAGGCATCCCCATATTTGTTTTTCAACTGCCCATTGACATACTCCTCCGTTTGTTCCATCGCAATATTCATATACCCATCCAGACAAGCTAGAATACCTGCACAAGAAAAAAGGAACACTTCAGTAAAGCTAATCCGTATACTTTTCATACCGACCAAACCAGTAAATATGAGATATATCAGTAGATGCCATCACACACAAAAGTTTACTCAATACAATGGAATTGTTTGATCTTAAAGCATCTTCTATAAGTTTGCACATGAGGGGTCATTTCTAGGCTTCATCCAGTCGTTAATAACTATTAATTTGCATTATTTTAGTTGATACCAAAGCACCATCTATAACTAAGGTGTCCAAGATTACTTTACATAATTTATGACTGACATAAATCCGTGATTCAACTGTTCCCCTAAAGTAAGAAACTCAAATGAAGGCAAAGGGCACCAAGCACACAGGTGATCACCTGATATTCATGGAATATCATGCAAACATACTGACCTAACCTCAATTCTCCCACATAGATATGGAGGTTCTTACAGTCTTACAGAGTGCATCATGGTGCAAAAGATAGACAATTTCTATAATCCTTGCAACTCTAAAAGAGAAACCACAACCAAAGGCCTGACCCATATATTGATATTTTCACTTGAGAAATGGCGAATAAAACGTGTGTACAAGCATGTTATAATGTGGGCTGCCCAAACTATATGCTTAAAAAAAAAGGTTTGATAAAAGGAAGACTAGCCACTTCCCAACTAAGTTGGCACCAAGTTGAAACTCATTGTGAGGTTATGCTGTCAATTTTATTAAAATAAAAAGACAAAAAATGCACTTATATGACCAATCTCTTTAATAAACCCAACGAAATAGACAAAAATTAAGTGATTAACGTATCAAGGGTGAATATATCTGCAGATCAATTAGGGCCGGCAATTTCGGACACGACACGATGAAACGATACGAAAACGAAAAAAGAATAATGGGTTTGAACCGCACGATTATTAATTGGGTCATTAACGGACTGGCACGAATAATACGAAAATAAATGGGCTGAATTCGTGCCAACCCGTTTAACACGCTTAACCCATTTAGTTATACGGAACGTAATCGGGCCGACACGGCCCGGCCCGACCCGTTTATTAAGCCCATATATGTGTGTGTGTGTGTGTAAATTTTCTAGAAAGAAACTCTCTTCTATTATTTTTGGAATAGTAAAAAATAAAAATAAATAGGCTAATGAAGAAACCTTATCTTCCTAAAAGAAACTATCCTAATTAAAGATAAATTCTAACCTAAGAAACCTTATCTTTAATGATAAACCATTTATCCTCTATTTTATTTAAATTCAAATACAAAGACTTTATTTAACCGACAATATATATATATATATATATATATTAGACAAAACCCTACTTCTGACTCAGTCTCTTGAAACTAATTTTAGTTTTTAGAGCGTAGTTGGGCATTCAACCTCAAGGCTCAAAGAAGACATTTTCTTATATTTATTTTATGTTTTATGCACTTAAACATTGAAATGTTTGGTTATGTTTTCAAACTTATTTAAATGTACTTGGCTATGTTTTCAAATTTCTTTGGATGTTTGGTAATTAGTATGTTTTGAAACATATATACTTGATAATCTAGTAGTATCATATATATATATGTGTGTGTTTGATATTTGGATATTTTAATATGTGTTGGCTATTATGCATGATTTTATATTTAGTCAATTAATATAGTTTTGAATACAATATAAAATTCCACTATTTTTGCTAGTTAGGTCATAAACGGGTCATAAACGTGTTTTTTTCGTGTCGGCCCGTCATGACACGTTTAGTAATCGTGTTCGCGTGTCGTGTTGTGTTAACCGTGTTATTAGCGTTTCGTGTTCGCGTTTGAATTTCTGACACGTTTATTAATCGTGCTGTGTTTGTGTTCACTATAATCGTGTCGTGCCGTAATCGTGCCGGCCCGAACACGACACATAAATACGAATTGCCAACCCTAAGATCAATAACAGGGAAATAATAGAACATTGCTTCCTAATTCTTTTTTATGAAATGAAATTACGTGGAAATGAAAGAAAAGGAACAATGTGAGAGAAACGAAAGAGTCAAAGACTGACCTCTATAATCAACTCCGGAATTTAGTTTAACGACAACTGGTCGTCCACGAATTGATTTCAGGAAATCAGCTGGGGTTTTTGTGGTCGGTGACCCTTTCTCTCCTGCTCCGCTCATTTTCCTTTATCTTAAATCCAAGTCTACTCTACCTGACGCAAGGGGGAAAAAATGGATAAAGAACTTCACTCACAATCTCAATACACACAGTAGAACAATTAAACATAAGTAACTCATCATCAAGACACACACACACACACAACAAGATCTCCAACATTACTGTTTTATCTTTAGCAAGTGGTATGCCCTATTTTCACCACTTCATACGTAGTTGGAATAGGAAAACATCAAGCACATAGGATGGACTTGGAGAGATGAAAGACAAATTTTCTTACGGACAAATCAAAAAAGTCAATCTATTATTTACTTTAAGAGAACCCATCTGTTTTTTAGTGTAACTTTTTGAAATGTGGCCAAAACAAGCTGCTTTGATAACGGAAATCAGCTTGTAATTATTAAGCTCAACAAAAAACACTTTAAACAATCACTTGCTTTGTCTTCCACTCATACGACAAGTATATATTAACCTTCTATCACGATCTCCCTCTCTTTTTCGAAACAGAAAACTTGAATTAAGTTTATACCATTTCCCTTTTGAAGTAGCAAAATACTCCATAAACTAAAAATACGACAAAACAAAATCAAATACGTACAGAATTCAACAAAAAAAGTAGAAAACTAAACCACAAAAACAATTAACACATATAATACCGAATTATCAGATCTCCGAGAATCCACCGGAACCACCGCTGATGGTTGCGAAGTCACCAAAACAACACACGAAAACCTTAAACAAACAAAACCATTATAAAAATTACTTTTTATCCTCGGATTTTGGTGAAAAAATTCAGTAAAAAAAAAAAGCTACGCATGAATTCACAGAGAAGAATAAGAGTCTCACCAAATCCCAAACAAATAGATTCGCCTTCCGGGACAACGGACAATTCACGAAGGAGGGAGTACGGACGGCGGAGGCAGGCGGGGGCGGGGGCGGGGGCAGATTTGCCGGAGAAGGTGAGGACGAAGGAGAGAGAGTTTTAGGGTTTTGGGGCTTTTGAGATTTTGGATTTAGATTGGGGAACCGATCTTAAGACGGATTTCCGGGTTTTTTTTTTAATGTAAACATGGCGGTTTGGGGCGACCCGCCTTGCTACCCGATTTACATGCCTTAACCTATCCATAGTCCAGCGAGCTGAGTTGAGCATCTCTCTTATTTTTTAACGAGAAATTTATAATAAACTACTGATTTATAAAACTAAATTAAATAAATGACAGATTTTAAAATATTTAATAATAAAAAGTAGTAAAGTTATTTTTTTTACATAAACTTTTATTTATATTTGACAAAATTTTTTTATCCACGTAAATTAAAATAACACATGTTAAAAGAATATAATAACATCTGTAAAAGAGTAAATAGTGTTTATTTAACCTTTCTCAAATATTTGAAAAGTTTGGAAAAAGGATGGAAATAAGCCAAGTTAAAGGAGCATAAAAAATTAATAGGTCGAAGTTAAATAGTTTTAAATGCTTTAACAAAAGGAAACGCCCGTCTTTATTATCCTTTTATTTTTATTTTTACTTTTTTTTTTGTTTGCCTAATGGATCCAGACTTCACGTCTTCAACATTTAATGAACATTTGGTTCACAGATTCAGAACTATAATTTAAAATTATAATTCAAAATCATTCTTGATTTGTGTGTATTTTTTATGAGAAAAAATGTTGTAGCGAGTCATGAACTATGATTCGAGCTATGACACGAATCCTTATACCAAACACAGACTTATTGTTCAAAAAGGTTAAGCCCACGATTATTTTAATGATTAATTATAAAAATTTTTCTTTGAATTATATTCCTATAACACTTTATTTTTTGATCTTTAAAACGTAATATTTATTCCTCTTAAGCAATAAAATGTTACAAAAAAGCCCTATCCATTAGATTTTTAATTGAAATTTACATTTAATTTACTATTTTAAGGCTATTTTAATAATTTTATGGTTTAAAATTTAATTCGAATCTAAACTAATTTAAATATTCAAAAAACTTAATAATTTTTTTATTCTACCAAAAAAAACTCATAAAATTTTTAAGTTGCATTCAATCAATAATGAATGTATCATAATTAAAAGTTTAAATTTAAATTAGCTTTAAATTCAAACTAAAATTTTAATCCATAGAGCTACCAAATACCCCAAAATAACAAATTATTCCCTTAAAAAAGAATTAACGGAGGGGATTTTTTTGTTAATATTTCATTGTTCATGAGGAATGAATGTTACGTTTTAAAGATCGAGAGACAAACTATTACAAGAGATATAATTCAGGGAGAGTTTTTGTAATTAATCATTATTTTAACAACTCAAATCAAACAATTCAATCAAAATCATAGTTCATGATTTAAATTGATGTTTGGTAAAGAACAAAATAAGGACAATTCAAATATTTGACAATAGTTCAAATCATTTTAGAATTGACCCCTCCCTCCTAAATTCACATAATCCGGATTTTACTTTTTATCCCACATCAATTTCAAACTTAAAAATATCATAATTTTTTTTGTTTTAATCCATACTTAAATCATACAATCTAAACAGTGAGCAAAACAAGACCTGAGTATCTAATAGCTCATTCAATTTAAAAATTTAAACAAAAGTTTAAATTTTATTAAAAGAAAACACTGTAACATAAATAATAGCTCAAACTTAAGAAGAGCTTAATAAATCACTCCGTGTTTTGCATCTTCAATTAAATTCATTTTGAATCTTCAATTAAATTCATTTTGAACTGTTATTTTCGGTAGCTATCAGTAGCTGATGAGTAGCTATCAGTAGCTGAAAAGGTCTGCGCAACCACGTGGGTTATCACTTGTTTGCTCTATCCAAATATAGCCATCACTAGCCGAAAAGTTCTGGCCCACAATTGCATTATTAGCTTTTTTCTTTTTTTTTTCTTCTTGCTACTGAATTGCATTATTGCTTGATTCCTATGTCGATCAATCTGGATTGCTACTACAGTCATTGTTACACCGTTGCTATCAAACAGTTGCAACCAAGGACGATCAATCATCAATCAATGCAAAAATATTTTAGAACTATGATGGCCACAATAACATCAAAAAGTAGAACATATATTTTCATAAAACTATCATCTAACACTATAACCGCAAAAGCAAAGCATGAGACCAGCAGAGAAGGCTGGTCAACATCAAGCAATTCAAGCCCAGGGACACAAGGTAATCAAAAACGAAAACAGGATTAAATCCACAACATAAACGCAACAAAGAGAAAACAAACACAAAACGTTGGACTAGACTTCCTCCTGAGCTTCCTCCTCTTCATAATCATCATAACCCTCCTCTTCAGCAGTGGCATCTTGGTATTGCTGATACTCAGAGACCAGGTCGTTCATGTTGCTCTCTGCCTCTGTGAACTCCATCTCGTCCATACCCTCTCCGGTGTACCAATGCAAGAAAGCCTTTCTGCGGAACATGGCTGTGAACTGCTCACTTACTCTCCTGAACATTTCCTGGATTGAAGTGGAGTTTCCAATGAACGTCGAAGCCATTTTCAAACCAGTTGGTGGGATGTCACAAACAGTGGACTTGACATTGTTTGGAATCCACTCAACAAAGTATGACGAGTTCTTGTTTTGAACATTAATCATCTGTTCATCAACTTCCTTGGTGCTCATCTTGCCACGGAACATGGCTGAAGCAGTCAAATAACGTCCATGTCGAGGATCAGCAGCGCACATCATATTCTTGGCATCCCACATTTGTTGAGTGAGCTCCGGAACAGTTAGAGCTCGGTACTGCTGAGATCCGCGAGATGTAAGTGGAGCAAACCCAACCATGAAGAAATGCAAACGAGGGAATGGAATAAGATTAACAGCAAGTTTCCGAAGGTCAGAGTTCAATTGACCAGGGAACCTGAGGCAGCAAGTTACTCCACTCATGGTTGCAGAGATCAGATGGTTCAAGTCTCCAACTGAATAAGCAAAAATTATAAGTCAAAACTGGTCAAATAAACGCTACTGGTCTCCCAAAAAAAAAATAAAAAAATCTAACAAAGCATTAGCAGCTTTCGATTATCAGGAAATGTACTAAGATGAGAAACAACAAGCAAATTAACATGCCACAAATGACTTCTTTCTTTAACAGGAAAGAAACATACTACAGAATCCTAACAAAAATCAACAAAAACATCCAACTAGATGGCAAATGAACAAAAAGAAGAAACTCACAGCTTGGAGTGGTAAGCTTCAGAGTTCGGAAGCAAATATCATAGAGAGCTTCGTTGTCCAAAACCATACATTCATCCGCATTCTCAACAAGCTGGTGAACAGAGAGTGTTGCATTGTACGGCTCAACAACGGTGTCCGACACCTTTGGGGATGGAAACACGGAGAAAGTAAGCATCATACGGTCTGGGTATTCCTCTCTGATCTTCGAAATGAGAAGTGTTCCCATTCCCGATCCGGTTCCACCTCCCAAGGAATGGCAAACCTGGAACCCTGAATAATTTCAAGAAACGAATTACTTCATTTAAATTTGTCTGCTCAATAATGAAAATTGATTGCCCAAGAACAGTGTAGAACAGTGAACCACGTTTATATGTAGAAAATTTCGGTTAAATCATTGCTAAAATGAATTGTCTTCTATGCATTATTTAGCTTAATGAAAAATAAATTTAGAAATAACCACAATAAGTCATTAGCAACAAAAAAAAGGTGTGTGTTTTGCAGAAAAATCAAACCTAATATCAGTTACGCACTTCTAATTCTCTATATTTCTCAACAAAGAAAGACGAAAACCCTAAAACACAACAGAGTGAAAGTTCAATCAACAAAAACTAACACCGATAAGGATCTATAACCGAATAATATATTAAGTTGAGAAACAAACACATAACAATTCTGAAAATTCATCACTTCATTGAATACCAAGAAGCAGAAAATCACGCCCAAATCAACAAATGAGAAAACGAAAAAGTAGAGGAAAAAAAATAGATAATGAGAATATTCAAAAACCTTGAGTTAAAACTTAAGTTCTTCACTTATTTGGCAAAATCGCATCGAGAGAGAACTAAAAAAATGGGAAAAAATACCTTGTAAGCAGTCACAGTTCTCAGCCTCCTTCCTGACCACATCCAGGACCGAGTCAATCAACTCAGCACCTTCGGTGTAGTGACCCTTGGCCCAGTTGTTTCCGGCGCCGGACTGGCCGAAAACGAAGTTGTCCGGCCTGAAGATCTGGCCGTAGGGACCAGATCTGACGCTGTCCATGGTTCCGGGCTCCAGATCCATGAGGACGGCGCGTGGGACGAACCGCCCGCAACTCGCCTCGTTGTAGTAGACATTGACTCTCTCGAGTTGGAGCTCGTTGTCCCCCTGGTACCGCCCCGTCGAGTCGATCCCGTGCTCGGCGCAAACCACTTCCCAGAACTTGGCTCCGATCTGATTACCGCATTGGCCTCCCTGGATGTGAAGGATCTCTCTCATTTTCGCTGTTCTGAGTCCGGACGAGTCACTGAGCTCTAGAGAGAGAGCGAGAGAGGAGAGAGAAAGAACAGTTTGTCTTTTGATCTGTGAGTGAGAGACTGAGGTCTGAGAGGGAAGAAATGGGGATTTTAATAATACGGAAGGAGGACGTTTTAACGGCGTCAAGTGGGGCTGGGGAGTTAACGGTAAAAGTGACGGCGCCGTTTGGTTTAAGGGGGAATTCGAATTTTGAAAAGAGAGCGGAATATTTTTGAATCTGAATTAGGAGAGAATTTGGAACAACCACGACGAATCTGGAGCGTTCATTGCGTTGACTAACGAGATTTTATTTAGATTCAACGGCTGTGATGAGTGTAACTGTATCTGATGTTATGTGGTCGCTCACCTCATGGATTAAGGGAAATTAAATAAATGGGGCCACGCGCTCTTGAAGCGAGTGGTGGTGACGTGCCAGAGGCATGTGGACTTGAGGAGTAAAGTGGGGATTTGTTGGATGAGGCACGTGAGGGGATGAGACTGGCAGTGGAAGCACGTGATTTGAAGATAGGGTCACGTGACTGGCACTTTCAGAACAAATTCATTAACGGCGTGTTTGGTTTGTTAGTTTCTTGAACTATATATGCTGATAAAGTTTCTTGAACTATTTGTATTTGTATTATTTTACACGTTGACTCCTAAAGATTCCTAGTTCTTATTTATTTTTTGTTACAAGTAATGCAAGATAATACTATGTTGAATTGCATAATAAGTCCGACAATCAAATTTCATGGGATGGCAATATCCTATGTTGTGAGAAATTTTATATAAGACGCGACTTCCATTTTTTGCTACCATAACAAAATTACTATTCAGAAAATCGGTCGGTACCATATAAATAATAATAATAATAATAATTAGTTTAATAATGAAGCATAATTAATAGAAGGACAATGAGTAAATGACATATATCTGTGTGTCGTTTTTTCAGTTGGACCACTAATGTTTGGTTATAAAAAAAAGCAAAATATTAAAGCGCCTAACCGCCTTCTGAAAAGCGAAGGTGCTGAAATTCCTCTCTCAATATTTTTCTCCCTTTTTTTTCCGCAGACAAATATCTGTCATCTGAAATACGTACAAACTGCACCAAAAAAATATCCACTAGAGCCAACCCCACATGATGTTAAGGAATATCTTCCAATATTCCAATCACAGTTGTCTTTTTGTTTTTTTTATTTTTTTTTTATTTTTGCTACTTAATGATAACATCCGAACAGCATTGGATCCAAACTTCCCATAACACGGTTAAAATAATTCACAAATTATACCTGACAATTGCATTGAAGAGAAGTCAATTAGAGAAGGATGCACCAATCCATTTATTGGCATTTGGTGTGGATCCATTTGTCACATGAAAAATCTGGTTTTGTCGCAGCCCAAATCCTACGTGGCCCACACCAGGAAGTACCAAACTGGAAAACTGTAATGGCCATGGCCCATCCCAAGACGTACCTTTCACTCAAGCCAACGCCCAAAGCTGGTAAAGTGGGCACCCACGAGGAAACCAAAAGAGCAAGGCTCCTAGATGGATAAAAAAGAGACGCAAGAATAAGAATAAGATGAGGAGAAGAAGCAATGTCATAATCATATAGAATGACATAAAGCGAGAGAGAGGAAATGCAGTTATCACTTTATCCTTCAATGGAAAGCTAGCTATTTTGCCATATATGTTTTACTAGCCATCATTTATAGAAATCTAACTCATTACGGGCCCGTTTAGTTCGCTGATTCGAGTTGAGATGTGTGAGAGCTTTTTACTGTAATAAAAACGTTAAATATGACTGTTTCTGAGAGTTTTTTACTGTAACAAAACTCGAATCGATAAAATAAACGGGACCTATGTATATTTTTGTTGTAATGATATTTAAGGTTAATTCATTGTATTAAGGATTCGTTGGGAAGCAAAATTTTCCCAAATATGAGCTGTTTAGTCTAACAACATATGATAATTGAGAATGAGGTACTTTTGTATAATTCTTGTGGCTAATCGTAAAGGTGTCCCGTCTGTTACTATTTTTGGCTTTGCCGACTTAGGAAGCAACATATGCCAACATTTCAATAAGGTTATCGAAAGTTGAAACTTGTCAATGTTCCTTCTGACTTCGGGATCTACAAGGACTTAGTCCGGCACTTGAAAGGTGAAAATGGTGCTCCTTCATTTTCCGCTTATGTGATGGAGCATGAGAAATATACATGCTGGATGTAACATAGCCATATTTATCAAAGAATAGTCCGTTAGTTTACGAACAAATATATACACACATAAATATATTTAAATAAAAGAAGCTCAAGTATACCAGTTTGGAAAACAATGTTGGAGCCACATTTATGTGTGGATCTGTGTTTGTAGTTATGTACACATGTACATAAATGTGTTGTTGTGAACACATACATACATACATATATATATATATATATATATATTAGGGGTGTAAGAATTCAAGCCGAACCCGCTTGAGCTGACCCTACCTACCCAAAAATAATGGGATTTTTTTTTTGGCGGTAACAATAATGCCTAACTCGTAAAGTGCGGGTAGGGTCACGGGATAGATTCAAGAAACCCGATATTGCCCCTACCCGGCTGAATTTATCAGCACAGGAGAAGAAATCATCACTAAATCTAATGTTTTCTTTGGCCCAATTCCAACGTTTTCTTTGACCATGGCAATTTTTGAACACACACAATACAACACAGTTATTTTCAAACACACACAATGTCCAATCTTAACGTTTTCTCTAGCCAATGATAATGGGCTTAATTGCAAGAACCCCAAAGTGAAGGCCCAACCCAACCAATCCAGTCACCCCGAGCCTACTCAAGGTAATCCAAAGGGTTATGGGTTTATTGGCTTAAAAAAGTGTTGCGGCGTAAATCTTTCTCAGCCCGCACATTGCGGCTTGGCCCAATTTCAAGCCCAAGGCCGACCCGGCAGATTTACAGGCTTAATATTATATATATACACGTGTAGCGTGGAATATGTGTGCTTATATATGTGCATACAGCATATATGAATATTTGTGAATGCATTGTACACACATTGTATATATAATCTTTATAAAACAAATCTGTACAAATCTGTGACCCTGTTTGTTTCCGTTTTCATTTCTATTTTTTATGTTTTTCGAGACTAAAAAATGAAAACGGAAACATAAAATGCGTTTGGCTTAAAAATTTTTTAAAAACGAAAACAAAATCGTTTTTGTCTTTTGTGAAAAATTGAAAACGAAAAAAAAGTTTTTTCATTTTCTCGTTTTCATTTTCTGAAAACGGATTTCATTTTTTTTTTTCATTTTCTTCTCTCTCTTTTCTGAAACCGTTTTTGTTTTATTTTATTTATTTTTTAATATTATTTATTTAATATATTATTATTTAATAATATTATTTAGTTAATATATTATTATTTAATATATTTAATAATATTATTTATTTAATATATTATTATTTTAAATATTATTACATGTTTTCAAAAATTAAACCACCAAAGGTAGTTTTAGTTTTTTTTTTTAAAACTGAAATCAATATCTGAATAAAACTACCAAACGCATTTCAGAAATAATTTCAAAATGAAAATGAAAACGTTTTCATTTCTATTTTCATAGAGAAATAAAAATATTTTGGAACCAATTCCAAACGCAGCATGTATGTAATTTGGATGTTTGTTTATTAAAAGAACAAGACATTTGTTTTTTGTTTTCTTTTAAGACAAGACATTTGCAATAAAACGACAAGTCATTTTAAAAAACGATATCATTTCAAACAAAATTTCTCAGCTGCATGTCGTTTAGCGTACAGACGACAGGACTTGACAAAGAAACAACATCATTATAAACAAAATGATATAACGCTCAACTACATGACGATTAGCCAACAAAAGTTAAAAAAATATCATGTTGTTGAATGGAAAACTAGGTTTTACATACATCTAATTGAATTTTTAATAGAGCGTAAGTATTTATTTATTTCTTTATTTAAATTTGAAAAGATCTATTTAAAATTTTTGCTAAGTCCTCAAAAAATCATGAGCCATCCGGTCATCCGTCCTATCTCCTTGAAAAATATTGAGGCCCCGTTTATTTCGCTGATTCAAGTTTAGAATTCGAGTTTTGCTACAGTAAAAAGCTCTCACAAACAATCACATCTAACTTTTTTGCTACAGTAAAAAGCTCTCACATAAAATCACTTCTTAACTCGAATTGAAAACTCGAATCAGCGAACTAAACGAGCCAGAGTTAATTAATATTGTACAAGGAGAAAACCATCCACCAAAAATGAAGGCGGTGTTTGGAGTTGTTTTTATTTTTATTTTTTACGTTTTTAGAGAAAGAAAAAATGAAAACGAGAAAGGAACAACATTTGACACAATAAAGATAAAAAACATAAATAAAAATAATTTTTTAATTTAGTATAAAATGAGAGAGAAATGAAAAATGACTTTTAGTCATTTTTTATTTTTTATATTGAAAACAATATCTTGACAAAACTATCAAACATATTTTAAAAAATGATTTTTGTCTGAGATTGAAAACGTTTTTATTTATATTTTCATATAAAAAAATAAAATCATTTTAGAACGAGTTTTAAATGCACTCGAAACCTTTCCCCCTAGAAAACTGTAAATTTACCAAAAAGTAATGTCGTGCCATCTCTATATAAACAAACAAACAAAAAAAGTAAGTAACGACATTGCCGTTTATTGCTTTAACGACACCAATCTTTTATAGTTTTAAACGACATATATTTTTTCTTCGCAAACGACATGTATATTTATATGGATTCTCTGGATTAACGACAAGAAGTCTATGCGGAAAACGACCTGTCGTTGAGTTTATGATACGAAGCACACGACTATACGCGGCTTGTAGTTTGATAGCTAGCTTAAACGTCATGTCACTTTATTCTTAATAAACGACAAACATGTCGAGTTTCCAACTAAATATGTCGTTTACTCAAAACTTTGATCAAACATTCGGCTACGGCACTCACCTTCGCTTCGCAGCCTCCCCTAATCGAAAAGAAAAACCCTCCTAAACTCCCAAACTCGATTCTCGTTTTTGCAGACCAAAAATGGTGAGCAAAAGACAGAAAGAAGCCCGCAAGAGATTCAAAGTGGCCAACCCAGAACTGTTCCCGAAGCCGGAGCCGACGCCGCCGAAAGACCCAAACAAGAAGAAAAAGAAGAGCAAGTTCAAGCGCGACGAGAAGAAGGCCGACCCAAAATCTCGCGGCGATGCGACCAAAAAACTGATAAAAAAGGGTCTCAGAAAGCACCCTCTTAGAGTTCCAGGCATGAAGCCCGGCGAAAGCTGTTTCATCTGTAAAGCCAAGGACCATATTGCCAAACTTTGCCCTGAAAAGGCTCAGTGGGAAAAGAACAAGGTTTGGGCTGGTTTATTTTGAGTTTTCTTCATTTGGGTTTTCGTCTATTCAACGAATATTTAATGGGAAAAAGTGAGGTTTTTTTGCAGATATGTTTGCTCTGCCGAAGCCGTGGGCATAGCCTGAAGAATTGTCCCAACAAGAACGATAAGACTGTGGATAAGAAGTTGTGTTACAATTGCGGACAAAGTGGGCACTCGCTTGATAAATGTCCCCAACCTCTTCAAGAAGGTAATTCATCTTTGTTTGTAATATGTGGATTCAGTATAGAATACATAAAGTTTAAGCTTTTGATAGCTCGTGTCCAAAGTAGTTTATCTACAAGCACATATTGTTCATTCGGATATCCTGTTTTACCAAACTTTAATGTGAGTATGTGACACGGCATTGGGTAATGTAGATGTAAATTTGTAGTCTCCGTTTGAAATTGACATGTATATACATATATATATATGTATGTATGTATATATATATATATATATATAATGACAAAGTTGACATGCGTACTTGGTGGCTTTATAGCTTAACAAGTTATACTTTGTAACTGGTAGATTCCTGCATATTTTCGCCACTCATCATTGAAATCAGCCTATTTGTACTTTACATAGTGCTGAACTTGAAACAGAATTTGATTTAAAATCTTTAGATTTATTATCTATGGTTCTAATCAGAAATGGGAAAGTGAGTTATTGAGCCATTTTATCTTTGTATTTGCCTATTCAAAATTGTATGAACATTAACGAGTTGGTTTGGCCCTCTTTTGAGGGATCATTTACTTCAGATTTGATCATATAATGACGAGGATTGATTCTTTCGTTGACATTGCTGGTTTCTTCTTTAAGTATTAAATCATAAATTGGAATTCTTGCTGTTGGTGATGCAGGAGGAACTAAGTTTGCCACTTGCTTCATTTGTAAGGAGTCTGGACACTTGAGCAAAAACTGTCCTCAAAATACTCATGGCATCTATCCCAAGGTAAATTAACACTCTCGTTTTTGACTCTTTAAAATGGTGGATATTTATAAGATTGGGACAATGTGTTGAAGTTACAGATGCTATTTGCTAACGATTCATGTCTGAGCCATCCCAGAAGAATATCTCAGTTAATTGAACGTCACATTCCTCCTTTTTTTTTTTTTGCTCCGTAGGGTGGTTGTTGTAAAATTTGTGGCGGGGTTACACATTTGGCAAAAGATTGTCCTAACAAAGGCAACAGAGAATCTGCAGCTTCTGATAAAGCTTCTCGCACATGTAAGTTTTTCTAGTCTTGATGCTTGATGATAAGCTATTCTTGATGGCGTGTTTACAACTTGCAGCAGTATTAGACATAGGATTTCAATTTATACTAAGCCCTTTCTTGGTAACACTTTCTGACTTTCACGTTCAATTTTACTTTTTTATTTTTTTGTAAAAGAATGGCATAGAATGGAGATTCTCTTTAGCAACTTGAAAATATCTCCACCCTTCATTTTACTTTTGAAACCAAAAGTTAAACAATGCAAGTAAATGTACAGAATCGACCACCAATAGGGATATTAGTTCTGCTTTTGTGGATATAGATGAACCTCTATAGTCATGAAAACGATTCTATATGAGGCATTAATATAACTTACTAGGAATAGTGTTGTTAATGATCCTAAATGTGCTGAAACACCTTAAACAGGGAATATTAGTGTGACTTTGACTCTACAAGGTCTCGCTGTTAATTTAATCCAACCTCAGGACCATGTATTCTCATCCCCTTTCTTTGGAATCCATAGTGATGAAATTTTTATGCTTTCACATTTCAGATCTCTGATCTCATATGAAGTTCGCTTCGACTTTGATTGTCTTTGTTTTTTTTTTGGGGGGCGGGGGTAACAATAGGGCGTTTTGATTGGTTTATCATGCTAGTATACTAGTAAGACGTTGATTTGTTTATTATGTTCTTTACTCGTTTTCAGTTAGCATAAGTGATGACAGGCCAAGAGGACAGGTGACCAAATTCTTTAGTGGGGATGATCTTGAGGATGATTTCATGGCAGACGACACATATGGTGGTAAAAAAGACAAGTCCACTGAGCCAAAGGCGGGCTCTGGTTCTAACTCACAGGAAAGTAATTTAAAATCAGAGAAGAAACAAGGGCCCAAAGTAGTCAATTTTGTTGGATAAGGACGGACGATTTTCTTGAGATTAAATCCATGTAATCCTTTTTGACTCGTTTGTGTTTATCATTTCTCCTACTTTACAATTTATTGGACATGAGTTTATACTAATTGTAATTTAAATTCTCCCAGTTTATATATATATATTTTATTTTATTTTTGTTTCTTTTTTCATTGTGGTTTGCCTTCATTTTTCATTTTTGGTTGTTTTCATTTATATTATTCTCTCTCTCTCTCTCTCTCTCTCTCTCTCTCTCTCTCTCTCCAAACTCTTCAAAAGTGTGTGTTTTTTATTATTATTATTATTATTTTTTTTTTTATTTTGTGGAGAGCGTGATTAAGGACAAAGTTAAACGGAGATTCTTCAATTGCAAGGATAAAATTTTATATGTTTGGTAGTTATAGCAAAAATTTAGTGATTTTTCTTTTTTGTTTTTTCTTAATTTGTTATTGTTTCTCAATCTCAACCAAACACTTATTCGAAAGAGGATTACAACATGTTTGAAATGAAAGATCAAATATGTTGTAATGACTGAGAAAATTTCAGACCTTAAATAATACAATTCATG